AACGGTTGGCTTCTCTTGGTTAGGGGTATTGTTCATTCGCCGCATCATCTACCTGTGGAGTTTTGACTTAGACCTGTAGATGAATCCTATTCAAGTTGGTCCAAGATATCCACATACGGTCCTGGAGACGTATGGACGTTGAAACGCAGATAATATCAAAAGAAAATATTCTCTGATCAAATTCGGGGACTTTTGTGCTGAGTGGATCGTTTTTGGTACGCCCACTGACGTAGACCTCAGTCGTTGAACAATCAATGCGCATTCTGAATGAGAACGTTCAGGAGCACGACAGTCCTTTTTGACACTCAGTAGCGTCGAGGAAAACATTGGACTGGTCTTTGTCAAAAGATAGAAGGTCTATATCGGTTGCTAATAGGCAAAGTGCATTTTGTTCCCTCCTTACAGTAGGTAGCTTAACTCATAACATTAAACAATACAATTTTGAGTGGACAGTATGGCATATACTTCATAGAAAACTGATGTATTGTAAGGTTATTGACGGCGCCCAAGAGGTGTTATATACCAATAAACCCACATATACGACACCACCACATTCTTCCTGACCAGCACATATGCCAGACATGACCACGCCCAATATCCCATGATGCAAGCACGTAGTCAGAATCTCGTAGATAAGTGGGAAGTGTGCTCAGTGTCTCTGTTTCCACGTTGCTCTTCTGATGCATGTGTAATCTGAGCCCGAAACTAAGCGCTATAACTTGGTAGGTTGCTAACTGGCCAGTGAAGTCAGACCTCGCGGTCAACCCAGTGTCTGTTTGTGTGGGTCAGTCGACTGTTGAACCGAGTGACCGATAACAAATGTAGCCTGGGAATGGGAACAGAGAGCAGGGTCGACGGCTCAGTGTATTTTCTCCCCTATAAACAATCTGATTCGCTCGAAGCTATCACGGTGCGCGAAAAGCCGAAGCTTGGGGAAGTCGGACGGCGCAGTTAGCCCAAGGTGTTCTTTTTTATATGGAGTGGCAGAATGGTAGACTGAGAGTCGGGCTGCAATGGTTCCTTGTTAGTGGGGTTTCTGTAGCACTTCGGTGCCGTGGCATCCTAGCCGGGACTTTCGTGTGAAAATCGTGACATTTTATGAGTTCTCGCATTTGCTGTAGTAACATGAGGGCCCTTCCAGTTCAAGTGAGTAGCAAGGTGACTTGACGTGCATGGACCATTGACTCGCAACTAATAGCAGTTTTAAGTGGCAATAATTTGAAGAAAGCAATTTAAACAACTCGGTCGGCGCCAGTTGTATTGAAACCGGATCAAAGTTTAGGAGGCTTTGTCTGAGTCTAAGTAAGGCATTTCAACGGCAGGTTACTTACTAGTGTCTGCACGCGTTTTGGTGCTTGAACAGTTTGCAGCGTCCCAACCTTTACTGGCAAGCCTAGGTCACTGTTTTCACGTTTCTATCTTCCAAATAACACGAAGATATTTTGGTCACTTTGGCGTGAAGAAGGCATGTTCAAGTTTTTGCAACTGCATACTTAGTTCTTTAA